GATGCGACTTTCTTTGAAGATATCTTTCCCATGAAGGATATGGCTACCTCATCTAATCAGGAGATGCCTAGTTCATCGAATCAGGAACCAGTTACAATTACTGAACCTGCCATTTCGATGGAACACTTTGAAAGTCCTGTGGAGGAGAACAATGAAGTTCCTACTAGGAGCAAGAGATAGAGGACAACAAAGTCCTTTGGTGATGATTTTCTTGTGTATCTCACAGATGATACTCCCAGTTCTATTTCGAAGGCCTATGCATCGGAAGATGCTGACTACTGGAAGGAAGCGGTTCGTAGCGAGATGGATTCCATCTTGGCGAATGAAACTTGGGAGATAACTAATCGTCCTCATGGGTGCAGACCTATAGGATGCAAATGGGTATTCAAGAAGAAGCTTAGGCCTGATGGTACTATTGAAAAGTACAAGGCTCGGCTCATGAATAAGGGTTATACCCAAAAGGAAGGTGAAGACTTCTTTGATACTTACTCACCTGTGGCTCGACTGACCACTATTCGAGTTCTACTTTCACTAGCTACCTCACATCGTCTTCTCGTTCATCAGATGGATGTTAAGACTGCTTTCCTAAATGGAGAGTTGGATGAGGAAATTTATATGGAACAACCAGATGGGTTTGTAATAGATGGTCAGGAAGGGAAAGTGTGCAAATTGCAAAAGTCTTTGTATGGAATCAAGCAAGCACCCAAACAGTGGCATGAGAAGTTTGAAAGAATTTTAACAGCTGTAGGCTTTGTTGTGAACGAAGCTGACAAATGTGTGTACTATCGCCATGGTGGGGGCGAGGGAGTTATGCTTTGCTTGTATGTTGATGACATACTGATTTTCGGAACAAATCTGAATGTTATTAAGGAGGTCAAGGATTTCCTATCTTGCTGTTTTGAGATGAAGGATTTAGGAGTGGCTGATGTCATTCTAAACATCAAGTTGTTGAGAGACGATGATGGTGGGATTACATTGCTTCAATCTCACTATGTGGAAAAGATCTTGAGTCGCTTTGGCTACAGTGACTGCAAGCCCTCTCCAACACCATATGATGCTAGTGTGTTGCTTCGAAAGAATCGAAGAATTGCTAGAGATCAATTGAAATATTCACAGATTATTGGCTCGCTTATGTACTTAGCCTGTGCTACAAGACCTGACATCTCTTTTGCTGTTAGCAAACTGAGCCGGTTTGTCTCAAAACCAGGAGAGGTGCATTGGAAAGCTCTAAAGAGAGTTTTGCGTTATTTGAAAGGCACTGCAAATTATGGAATTCACTACACTGGGCATTCAAAGGTGCTTGAAGGGTATAGTGACTCAAACTGGATCTCAGATGCTGATGAGATAAAGGCCACGAGCGGTTATGTATTCACTCATGGAGGTGGCGCTGTTTCTTGGAAGTCTTGCAAGCAGACCATCTTAACGAGGTCAACAATGGAAGCAGAACTCACAGCACTAGATACAGCTACGGTCGAAGCAGATTGGCTTCGCCGGCTCTTGAATGACTTTCCGGTAGTTGAGAAACTTGTACCGGGTATCCTTATGAACTGTGACAATCAAACTATGATCACTAAAGTGAGCATCTCAAAGGATAACATGAAGTCATCAAGACACGTTCAAAGAAGGTTAAAGTCTGTCAGAAAAATGAAAAACTCCGGAGTTATTGCATTGGATTATATCCAAACGTCTAAAAATCTGGCAGATCCTTTTACTAAGGGTCTATCACGTAATGTGATAGATAATGCATCGAGGGAGATGGGAATGAGACCCACAATATGAGTTGTTCACAGTGGTAACCTATTCTTTGTGATCGGAGATCCCGTGAATTAGATGTGGAAGACAAGCTGTTGGTCAACTGAGAGGAGAGTATCCTTACTGTTAAAAATACCACTCCATAAAGATGCAATACTCTCCTAATCTGCATGGCAGGTTGATGTATATCTTAATGTGTTCTAAGTGGCTTTTTGAAGCAGATATGTTGTCCTGCAGAACATCTTTTGAAGAACGCACCTATATGAGTCTGATTGTTAAACGTCGCAATCTATGAGAGTAGGGTTCCTCTAGTAAACTCATGAAAGGTCACGGAGTATGACGCATAAGCTCAACCCGCGGGGAAGACCCACGGTAGCCACGTATCGGTCAAGGCTTTATATGAAGCTAGATTCGCAGAAAACTTGCAGTTCAAGGCCCAGTCCACTGTTCAAGTTGCGTACTAGTGTAGCATAGAGTTCTAGGTGGAAGTTCAACTTAACAGTCTCCACTTCAGTACCGGTATATAAAACAGTGTTTTGGAACCAAAAGCAAATTTCTGTGTGCCTCTGGGATCTGGTGCGGGATTGCTGGAATTTAGTCTATTTTGGGCAGCCTAATAACTATTTCAGAAATTCTAAATAAATCCTAGAGGCCCACTTAGCCCATTTGTACAAGGCAAGGGATACTACTAATGTTTAGTCCCACATTGCTAGTTGAGTGGGAGTTGGACCTCCTTATAAGGGAGGTTCTTTCCCCACTTGTATGACCATGAGAACAAGAGGGACATCCACGCGCGCTCCTCCTCCACCGCCCGCCTCGCCACGCCTCGTCCCGACGCGACGCGCCGCAGGTTGCGGGTTGCAGGAATGAGCCGAGCCGATGTCTAAATTTTTGCCACGCACTACGGGTATATGAAAGGTCACTCAGAAGCTGAAACATTTTTTTCTGTAGTGGACACTGAATCCGAACGGTGCGCCTCTTCGGCTGCTGCCTGTTCATTTCGTCTCCCGCATTCCCTTCAGCTCCCGGCGCAGCCTCTCGCCTCCTTCTCTTGCGCCTATAAAAGGGAGGTCGCTCCTCTCAGAGAGACGCACCAGAACTACTCCTTTCCTCGCCATCGGTTCCATCTCTGAGTTGCTGTTGTCTTCCTCATCCCGGCTTGCGGCGTGCACCGCACGTCGGGACAGTAGGCCTCTGAGACCGCACCTTTTGAGTCCTGTACGGGAGAAGGGTGATAAGGTTTTTGGGGAGCGCTCAGCGCGACTAGTGGCTGCTTCATCACAGACGATCCGGTCGCCGACGACTACTTCCCCGACGACGACTTCTTCCCCGACGTCCACGACCTCCTCGTCGACATGGCAGGCGAGGACACCGACCCCAAGTCCAGCGCTTCTGCTGCTGCTGTGCCGTACGTGTTCTTCTCCTTTCTGTTAGAATTCCTGCTACAGTTCTTGGCTCTAGTTTCTGCCCTACGTATGTTAGGTTCTATGTCGTATAAGCAACTTCATCTAGTGTCTGTTTTAGATGTGTTTAGCTCAAGTTCATATATGCAGACGATGTTAACCTTCTCTCTGTCAGATTGCATGACTTGTTTTATATTTGCTATTTTAGTCATGCTTTATCTAGTATTTCCGTTAGCAAAATTATTTGGTAAATTGCTCACATTTCCAACAATAACAACTCGTTTTGGCAGTTTCACAAATAAAAAAAAACTCGTTTCAGAAACACAAGACATAAAAGATTCAAGCAAGTAGTCAGTCAGCTGAAAAGATTCAGGACAGGATGTTCACGCTGATATTATCTTTTACTCGATAATTAAGAAGCCGGCATACATTTTTTAGTAAAAAGCTTGAACATACTAATCATCCAGAAACACTCAGACAAGGTCCTGTCCAGAATTTAGAATAAAAGGGAAGTGTGGTTATTGTGCATCAGATCAGCTAAGAAATACTATGCCTCATCCATCGGTGCTACAGCCAGAATATTCCATTCCTGCAGACCAACACCGCTGATGGCACTCGTTGGGGAGTTAAATGGACGGAACCACCACTTTTATGTCATGACTAGCGAAAAGCTATCATTTTATCATTTGTGACATTTGCACTGAACTGAAATTCTGACAGTGGCAAAAAACACCGACGGTAGATGCTAATCGTAACACGAAAGTAGAGGTTCTATGCATCCAGCTCCCCGTCGGATAACATCAATTAAGCCGCGTTTCCGACTTGAGCAAAACAAATTAATTGTGAATTTTTGACTATTCATCGTAAAAACAGGCTCACATCACATATGCAGATGAACACGAATGACAGCGATGGTACTTGAGTGGAAACTCCAAGTAGAAACCCTAAAGTACCTACGCGCCATTAATTGGACGATATGACGAGTGATGACTACAGTTTCCCCGAAAATGCTAGACATACAAACAAATACATAAGTTTACAAACTCTTTCTATCTACTAACCAATCACAAATCAAATTAACCCTCTTTGTAAAAGCCTGTAACTCATTTGTACATGTAACATTACTGTAATTTCCCTGTCGAGCACGGTTCCGAATAACACCGACATCACAAATGACTAAATCCAACAAAGCATTAAGTGAGTGGATTGTGACTTTGTGACTTAACCAGCAGGCATTGGTCTGAAGCGTGCGTAGCACGTACTAGAACGACGACTTGAGACTTGAGGTTGGCTAGCCTTGCCGGTCCTCTCATGTCTCAAATACAGTAAGACTTCAGACTTGAGACTTGAGGTTTCCTTGCCTTGATGGTGCTTGAGACTTGAGGTTGCCTTGCCTTGCCCTGAAAAGCATTGCATTCAACCACAAGGCTCCCAGTGTTCTCGTCACCACACCTCGGAAGGACTCACAAGGAGATATTGTCTTAGACCGTGGTACGGTTCAGAAATCCGAAGCACCATGGCCAAGGACAAAGAGATCCGCGTGCGATCCTTCTGCGCCGCTGGTGATACGAGAGCCATGCTTCTTCTCGAGCCTTACCACTTAGTCGCTCTGCTCCTGCTCCTCGTCGCTCCTGGTCGCAGCCTCGCGGCCACCGGTGAAGCGGGCAGCGGGGATGTCGATCGGCAGTTCGTCTACTCCGGCTTCGCGGGCTCGAACCTGATGCTCAACGGTGCGGTTGAGGTCATGCCGAGCGGCCTCCTGATGCTGACCAACGGTGTCACCAGAAATATGAAGGTCAGGCCTTCTACCCGTTCCCGATACCGTTCCGCAACGCCACCGGCTCCATGCGGTCCTTCTCGACCACCTTCGTCTTTGCCATCTTCGGTCAATACGACGACCTGAGCAGCGACGGCATGGCCTTCTTCGTCTCCACATCCAAGGAGGTGCTCTCCGCTGCGCTGCCAGGACAGTACTTGGGTCTCCTCAATGACACCAATAATGGCAACCACAGCGCCCGCATCTTCGCCGTGGAGCTAGACACGTTCCAAGACGCCGAGTTGCAAGACATCAGCAACAACCACGTCGGTGTCGACGTCGATAGCCTGGTATCGCGCCAAGCCTTCCCCACCGGGTATTACGATGATGACACCGGTGTGTTTCAGGGCCTAAGTCTGATAAGCCGGAAGCCCATGCAAGTGTGGGTTGACTACGACGGCACGGCCATGGAGATAACCTTGACCATAGCTCCACTGGGGGTGGCCAGGCCCAAGAAGCCCCTGCTGCAGACCATCATCGACCTCTCTGATGTGGTGCAGAGCACGGCGTATGTTGGGTTCTCGTCAGCAACTGGCAGTATTGTCTCTGCACGACACTTCGTCCTCGGCTGGAGTTTCGCTCTGGACGAGCCTGCCCTTGCACTGAACATCTCGATGCTGCCGGCCTTGCCATCGGCCAGCACCAAGCTATCGGCCAGGACACTGATATCAAACATTGCGATTACTTGGCTGGCCTTAGTGGTGATGCTGGCTTTGGCTATAGGCATCGGAATCTGGATATGTGTAAGACAGCAGTGTCACAAGTACTCTGAGGTGCGTGAGGACTGGGAGGTTCCGTTTGGCTCGAACCGATTTTCATACAAGGACTTGTTTCATGCGACCAAGGGTTTCAGTGACAAGAACTTGCTTGGGCGGGGAGGCTTTGGAAGCGTCTACAAGGGTGTGCTTCGAGAGCCTAAGATGGAGGTTGCCGTGAAGAGAATGTCACACAATTCAAGGCAAGGGGTAAAGGAGTTCATCGCCGAGGTGGTGAGCATTGGTCGTCTACGGCACCGTAACCTCACGCAATTGTTGGGCTACTGCAGGCGGAAAGATGAACTGCTCCTGGTTTATGACTACATGAAAAATGGTAGCCTCAACAAGCACCTACACAGTAGAAATGGCCAAGTGCTATGTTGGTCTAAGAGGTATTCAATCATCAAAGGTGTGGCGTCAAGTTTGCTATATCTACATGAGGACTGGGAGCAAGTCGTCATCCACAGAGATATAAAGGCAAGCAACATGCTTTTGGATAATAAGATGAATGGAAGGTTGGGCGATTTCGGTCTTGCAAGGATATACGACCACGAAGCCACCGCTGAAACCACCCATGTGGCTGGCACCATGGGATATCTTGCGCCTGAACTCGCGCGCGCTGGGAGGCCAACACCCTTCTCCGATGTGTACGCATTTGGCATGTTTCTTCTAGAGGTCACATGCGGACGCAAGCCAATCTTCATCGATGAGCATAACAACCGGGTGTTGTTGGTCGAGTGGGTGCTTGAGCACCACCACAATGGCTCAATGCTCGACACAGTGGATCCACGACTTGGACAGGAATTCAACACGGAGGAGGTAACCATCGTGCTCAAATTAGGTTTGCTATGCACGTACCCATCGCCCAACGCGCGGCCTATCATGCGGAAGGTCATGCAGTACCTTGACCATGATCAATCGCCTCCTAATTTATCACCGTCCTACATTAGCTACATCATGATGGCCCAACTGCAATATGAAGGGTTTGATTCACACAACATGCCATGTTCTCAACCCATAGCGAGTGTTGCCACTGTGTCAGGAGAGTCCTCGGCGACTATTTTGCGAGAGGGGAGAAGAAGTGTGTAGTTAATTGACCCCTGTGTGTGTGTGTGTTGAATTACTAAGAAGTTGTGCTCTGTTGTCCGGCATTGTTGTGTCCTGCATGTCGGAACTGTCCATTTTCTATTATATGAATGTTGGCTAATCAATATATGTGTAAGTGATTAAGAAAGGTTTCATGCATAGATTTTTTTTTTGAAACAAGGCAAAAGACTTGCCATTTTCATTGATTAAATAGAAAGAGAATTGCCCGGTTAATTGACGGAAAACCGGGCTAAAACCTATACAATCCAGCCCACAAAATGGGCACCACCGGCCAACCTGGCCACCGTCGTGGAACACAGAGCTGCCGAACAGCTGCACAAGCCACAACGGCACATGCCAAACAGATGGCCACATGCACAAACAACCGACAGCTCCGACTTTGATGACGAGCATCGCAAGGGAAATATGCAGGACTTGCGCCGACCGTGCCCACCGCAAAGATCACCGAGTGCTTGTCATCGTCGCCACCTGGACTCGCTCCACCGCAGCTCCGACTTCAAAACAACCAGGCAACCAACAGAAGAGCACCTCGGACACGCCGGGAAGATCCGACTACCAAAGCCCAAGCTGCGACCCAAGCTCCTATCGACGCCATCATTGTTGCCAAACAGAAGTCAGCGCCCCCGAAACAGCCTCCTCAGCAAACCACGCGGCGAAGATGCCGCCAACCACCACAGCAAAGATGTCGTCAACCACCGGTCTCCAGTTGTAGCCGGCTCCGTGACGATGCCCCCAAGGAGGAAGAAGACATGAAGGCGCCTTCATCGCCTGACCCTGCGGATCTGAGGTTTCCCTCCGGAGTCAAGGCCGCGGGGAGAGGGGAGAGGCAACACACTGCAGCGACGCGTCCAAGAAAGATTGTGGCGCCCGCGGGCGTCGCCGCCGCCGCATCCGGCAAAGGCCGGAGATAGGATTTCTCCAGGTGAAGCTCAACCACCAACTTCCCGAATCGGCCGGCCACAAACCGCCGCCCACCAATCCTTGTAGAGCACCGAGGCCAGCCGTCTGACTCCAACTGGCCACGAGATCCCTCGATCCGCCACGACCAGACCTGCACCGCCCCCTGGCCGAAGCCGCCACCACCGAATCCGGGGCCGCTGCCCCGGCAACCGTAGACCACCACTGCATGGCCACCGCACGCAGCACAGCCAAAGAGGATCCCCGAGCAGGAAGGGGGGCCGCCACCCCACCCCAACTCGCCGGACGAGCTGCCAGATCAGCCCGCCAGCCGAAGCACCAGCAGGCACCACCATGACGCCAAGCCGGAGGAACGCAGCAAACGGGCGCCCCCGGGACGCGCAGCAGGGGGCCGAGCCTCCCTTCACCCCAGGACCATCATCCGCGCCGGCCGCAGCTCGCTAGGGACGCCTCCGGGACGCGCAGCAGGGACCAGATCTGGCCCGCACAGGCGCCCACGACCGTGACCACTTGCCCGCAATAGCACGCCGAGCGCCGGCGACCAGCCAACGCGCCGCGCGCCGGAGACCACCTCCGCCATGAGCGAGGACACCGGCCCGGAGCCGAGCGCCGGTCAGCCGCCATCCGCACGCCATGTCCCCAACTCACGTGCGAAGAGCAGCCGAAGAGTGCCCCGCCACCGCCGGCTCCGCACAGGCTTTGCCTGCCGAAGGTTAGAGTGTACAAGTACTCTGACGAGTCGTTGATCAGATTGACTACCTGTAATTGTGTCCACCAAATGAATCCGCTGGTAACAACATATTGTGCGTTGATGAACTGCTTGATTGAAGGTCAAGAGCTGCACGCACATGATTCGATTGGCTTGCGGCGTGAAGTAACCCTGGAAGGATAACTAGGTTGTGCTCGTGATGATGAGTTCGTGACTGGGTACTCCAGACACCACTGGGTTGGGCCCTATCTGATATTTGTCCGGTGGCATGTTACAAGAACAGCTGGCTAGCGTTTGTCGTGTTGTTGCCTATCCTTTTCATTTTAATGCCTGGAGATCAGGAGGCATGTGATCTACTTCTACAGGGGTAAGTTAAGCTTTTTTTTTTAACATAAGTACAGACACAAGCGCTCATATACACGCACATACACTCACCCCTATGAACGCACACACGCACACCCTACCCCTATGAGCACCTCCGAGAGACTGAGCCGGCATATCATCTTGAGATTTACGAAGCAGTTAAGCTTATTTTCATCACGAAGCATTACCATGGCAAATACGCAATATTCCGTGTGTATTTCTAGGCTGGCTTATCATAAATTGAGGACCTTTTATACGTTAAGAACGTAGCAGTGTAAGAACCTACCGATTTTACGTAGCTTGTAAATGCACTGTACGCAGTCGATGTACCGCCACTAGTGCGTGTAAGTACGGCTCCATCGGCACTGTTGAGTAGACAAAAAAAAAAGAAGTCTTGAGTAGCCGCAACACGACGTGCAGTAGAAAACCGTAACACCCGTACTCCGCACGTATTAGCATCGCGCGGTGCACAAGCATGTGCAGTGCGTACGGTGCCTCGCTCCTGCTCTCGGAGACCGCCCGTGCCGTGCTCCTTGACCTTACCGGGCGCTCGTGGGTGCGGGGTTAATCAGGGCCGTCGTATCATTCCCTCAAAGTTAGTCAGGGCGCGTCAATGGCTACATGTTAGTTGTTTGTCACGAGCCGTAGTGGGACATCACATCATACAAGCCAACCATTTGGATGGAGCAGCACCTGCATGCGCGCATGGATCTGGGTGCTCACTTTCTGACGCCAACACTGGCTCTGTTTAGATCCATGGATTAAAGTTTGTTTGAGCTAGTTTGGGCTCAAATAGGTCTAAATTATCCAAACATAAGGCCTAGTTTGGGCTAGTTGCATCTAATACACCCAAAAAACTATCCCATCCAAGTGGTGTTAATTGGAGCTAGTTCTTCTGAGGCATTTATTGTCAATCTAACCCTGTCATCCAAACACCTCTTTGACTAGAGTTGGTTCAGGATTAGTCATGAGGTAGAAACTAACTCTAACCTCTAAGATAAGTTAGAGTATCCAAACAGAGTCACTGTGAAGGCCCAAGCTCACCACCAACGGCGACGAGCTCCCTGAAGCTGTCGTCCTCGAGGATGCGGGTGCCGCCATGGCCGACTTTGTGGGCCTCCTCCGCCAGCTCGGCTTTGAATTTGCGTACATTTTTGGAACTCATGAACAAGTTTTTTGCATACCCTAAAAAAAGAATAAGTTTTTTGCATAGGCGATCAGTCTTTGAAATTCATGAACAAAATTTGTAATTCAGAAAGATTTTTTTTGTTTTGCACGTACATTTTTCTGAATTCATGAATATTTTCTCAATTTCAAATATTTTTCTTAATTTTTTGAAAAAATTTCAAAAAAGTGTGAACACATTTTGTCATTTCCTGAATATTTTTATGATTTTTATTTTTTTATAAATATCCATGAATTTATTTTGAAATTTGTGAACTTTTTTAATAAAAAAACATCTGATTGAAATCATCAAATGTTTTTGAATCAGTGATTTTTTTAAATGCTCGAACATTTTTTAAATTCATGAACATTTTTGCTGAATGCGATTTGTTTTAATCATGAATATTTTTGAAACCACTAACATCTTATGTTTTCTGGAATATTTTTTTCTTCTGAAATTCAATTTTTAGAATTTGAATTTTTTAAATAATTCCAAATTATTTTAAAGAAAAGAAAAGCAAAAACAGAAAAAAAAAGAAAATGACAAAAAAAGAAAGAAATCAACTTTTTTTTGAGACAAAGAGCTGCTCTATTCATAGCACAATATTACACAGACTTCCTCTAAACAGAAAGAAAATACAACAGAAAAGCACAGCCGGCCACCGAAACACCCATCGCCTGAACACGCGTAGACCACGCCGCCATCGCCGGAGCTCACCGAAGATGGAGAAGACGCCATGCCCATAGGCCGCCCCAGGGGTACAGGAACCCCCGCCATAAAGGTTTTGAAGCTGCATGAGCCACCCGACGTCGGGCGGGATCTCAAGTCAATGAACGCATATCGGCGGCGACACCGAGAGCCAACCACGACATGAGCATCCTCCAAGAGAACGACGCTCTCCGAACGGAACCGGAGAGGAAGAAGACGACCAGCATCTTTTGAGAGGGAATCAAACCTGCAGCTCAACCAAACACCTCCTACACTCCAGGACCCCACCTCCACGCCATCGATGGAGACTTTGCCGGCACGACGACACAGAGGAGGGAGAGATAGATACTCACATCGCCAGGACGGCGAAGCCGCCACACCACCCTGCCTGAGAATACAAGAACTCGCGGGATCGACATATCCACGAGGACCAAAATCACTTCTCCATCCGACGCTGCCACCACCGGAGGGGAAGGCCGAGACACTGCTCGATCCGCAGATCAGCAGGAGATACACGCCGCCCATTCCCCAACAAATCAACAACAAGCAAAGATTTATTGGACGGAGAAGGAATGAGCGACCAAAATCTTTCGGCAACGGCGACCTCACCGTAAGCCGCCACCACTAGGAGCACGTCGGACAGGCAGCCGACCACCGGCCGGACAACCACCACCACCCATGAGCTCGACGACGCCACACCGGAGGAGAGCATCGCCATGGGGAAAGCTCTGGGACGAAACATGCCGCAGCCACTGCCACTCCCATGTTACTACCCGTCCCTATTTACTGATCAATGAAACCCGGATATAAATGTTAACAAAATGCCCCCTCACTCCACCCCTTGGGCTACCGATTGCCGATTGATCTTTTTGTTGAATCCTTTAAGCTACCTTCCAATTGCCTTTGACAAGGGTTGGCATCTAGTTCAATGAAGAGAATAATACTCTTTGAGATGAAGAGTCGTCCTTTAAAATGACAAAATAATGTTACTCTCCGTCCCAATTTACACTGCACACTTTTGTCATGATTAAAATGTAACCACCAATTTTACCAACAATATATTAATTATGTGACATAGCTGTTAAAACCTACTTCCTCCATTCAGAATTAATTGACGCT